CAACTGTATCCTGAGCATTTCTCACCTGCATTGCAACCTGTTAACTTCCAGAAAAAACCCTGTAATCATGAGTATTGCTTGAGAGGTCTGCATGGCCCTTGAAATGGACTGCAGAGCCTAGCTATGAAAGAAGGATACTGTTTGAAACAAAACAAGCTCTAAGATAGCGTCACTCGCTGTCCTAGCAGATCAAAAGCACAGGCCCAGCCCATCCATCGTTTACATCCTGCTCTGTTCTAGAAATCCTATGTACTCCATTTTAGAGACTCGATGAAGCATTCTACTCTGTTCTAGAAACCCTACGATAGCTCTACTAAATTATAGACATGCTAAGAAGCCCCATGAATAAGGTGACCAGATTTTAACATTGATAAAGTGGGACACCATTGATAAAACTCCTATCCTGGCAAAATAGCCACATGGCAGCTGAAAACCGTATACTCTAGCTTGCCATGCCTTCTTTCCAAAAATCGGGATTTTTTAAAAACGCTGCTGGACGTGGGCAAAATTGTTAACAATCAGGACTGTCCCGCCAAAAGCGGGACGTCTGGTCACCTTACCCATGAAGCAGTTCTATTTCATTCTAGAAACTTGATGAGGGCCCATGAAACAGTTCAATTCCATCCCAAAGACCCATGAAGGAGTTCTACTCCATCCTAAAGCCATATGAAGCAGTTTTATTCTGTTCTAGCAACTCTATGAAACCCATGAAGCAGTTCTACTTTCTTCTAGAAGCCTATGACAATAGCTTCATTCTAGAAGCCCTATGAAACTCCATGAAGCAGCTTTCTGTTCTAGGAGCCCAATGAACCAGTTCCCCATCCCATTCTAGAGACCTTATTAAGTAGGGGACTCGATTACAGAGACCCCATGAAATCCCATGAGCAGTTCTAGTCTGTTCTAGAGGCCCTACGAAGCAGTTCTACTCCGTTCTAGAAACCCTGTAAAACCCCATGAAGTCATTCTTCTCCATTCTAGAGATCCTATGAAGCAGTTCTGGTCTGTTCTAGAAGTCCAAAGAAGCAGTTCCACCCCCTTCTAGAAGCCCTATGAAATCCCAAGAAGCAGTTCTACTTGATTCTAGAAACTTGATGAAGGCCCATGAAGCAGTTCAATTCCATTCCAAAGACCTTATTCAGCAAATCTACTCCATTCTAGAAAGTCTATGAAACCCCATGGAGCAGGTCCACTCTGTTCTAGAAACCCTATGAGGAAGTTCTAGTCTATTCTAGAGACCCTATGGAACTCCCAAAAGCAGTTCTACTCTGTTCTAGAAATGCTATGAACCCCCATGAAGTAGTTTGACTCCATTACAGAGACCCCATAAAACCCCATGAAGCAGTTCTAGTCTGTTCTAGAAACCCCATGAAGCAGTTCTTCTCTGTTTTAGAAGCCATATGAGGCAGTTTTACTGTTTTCCCCCTCAGTTAGTTCTACTGGTTTAGAACCCCTATGATAGATATCCCATGCAGCAGTTCTACGCCATTCTAGATGCTCATTGAAGCAGGCCTACTCCATTCTAGAAACCCCATGAAACCCCATGAAGCAGTTCTTCTCTGTTCTAGAAGCCCTATGAGGCAGTTTTACTGTTTCCCCCCTCAGTTCTACTGGTTTAGAACCCCTATGATAGATATCCCATGCAGCAGTTCTACGCCATTCTAGATGCTCAATGAAGCAGGCCTACTCTGTTCTAGAGGGCTGCTGTGAGCTGGGGATTGAAGCGATTGGAATCTGCATCCTAAGCCTAGCAGCACTGGCTGCCACCCCTACCCCTCTCTTGTGAACCCCCAGTCGCCTTCGATAGCTTGGCCAGAGGTGTGGATAGTGAAACTGGCACTGGCTTGACCTTTGGCTCCAGATACTTGAGGCAGAGGGGCCGCTGGCACCTGTTCAATTCCTTGATGGGCTGAGAGCTGCAGACTTTCTGGCTCTTTAGGGGTGCAGTGGAGTGGGGTGGGGTGGTGGGCAGCTCACCGGCAGGTATCCTTTCCACAGGCCCCAGTGCCCTCTGGGTCTCAGCATCAGGGAGGGAAACTTGCTAGAGACCAGCCTCCACCCAGGACCAGAAGGTCAGCTGGACATCTGGAGGGGTCCCTGGCGCCATGTTGTCTGGTTAGGAAGCGTCTCTCAGCCTAGATCACGTCCCCAATGACATCATTACAGGGACGCGTCTTTGCCAGTGCATGTCCTGGTCTTCACCCCGGTGAGCTCAAGGCCTGGAATGGGAGCAGGTGCTGGCCACACATTTAGTTTGAGGCGACGATGGCAACAGTGAGAGTACCCCACAGCTCACCTTGGGCAGGGACCTCTGTCGTTCTTGTGGGGGCCCCGGGCAGGGCCTTTAGTACGGCAGCTCCCAGATTATTCAGAGGCATCGTGAACCAGTCTCTGCATCAGGACCCGGAGCCCCCCGGAACGCCTCAGGGTGAGAGGGTGGGGGGGCTGCTGGAGTGGGTGGAGCATCAGCAGAACTGGGCTTGGGCAGGACGCCCTGTGCCCTGTGGGAACCCTTCGTGGACACTGTCCCCTCAGTTTCATTTGTAGGTGGCCCCCACTGGGGTGTATCCAGAGGAGACTGCTCACACAGCAGGTCACTGTGCTTCAAGGCCCCACGGTTCACCTGTGGCCACCAGCCAAAAGGTTGGGGGTTTGAACTCCGGCCCAACTGTGTGGCAGGGAAGAAAGGCCTGGCTATCAGTTTCCATGAAGAGGGCAGTCAAATAATCCCCAGGGAGCACAGTTCTATTGGCACATCATGAACTGGAACGCACCTGGCTGGCAGTAGTGATTTTTGAGCCCCGGTGGGGTAGTGGATTGTACTGCAGGGCTGCTAACTACAAGGTCAGCAGATTGAACCTACCAGTCGCCCGTTGGAAGACAGATGGGGCTTTCTCCCCCTGTAAAGATAGATCGACAGCCTCAGAAACCCACAGGGGCAGTTTTACTCTGGTGATGAGCTCTGGACAAAACACTTGCCGGGACAGCACAGGACGGAGCAGTGTTTTGTCCTGTAGTCCTTATGGGACGGAGGCACCTACATGGCCCCTAA